TTAGCTATACGCATTCACCTATATTAATCTGTATTACTTGTATTAACTTGTATTTACTTATATTGATTTGTATTAACTTATATTAACCTTTATTAACTTGCATTAACTTGTATTAACTTGTATTAACTTGTATTAATTTATATTGATCTGTATTTCACATTTATTAATCGATTTATTAATCGATTTACTAATTGATTTACTGATCTATCTATTGATCGAAATAGCAATACGATTACTCGAATCATATCCCCCCCTCTTCTTGAGTAGCCCCTGGCCATGCGCATTCACTTGTATTAATTTGTATTACTTGTATTGACTTGTATTTACTTATATTAATTTGTATTAATTTATATTGACCTTTATTAACTTGCATTAGCTTGTATTGACTTGTATTGACTTTTATTTCACATTCACTTATCGATTTACTAATCGATTTACTAATCGAAGTAGCAATACAATACGCCAGTTATTTGCACCCCCTTCCTTCCCTTTATTGCAATTGATAAGACTTTAAAGCATTAATCAATTTGCGACCGACAAATCAACGATTATAAATTAAAGTTAATATTTCGTATATCGTAAAGTATAATCGTCGGTTACCTTGAATTTAATTTATAAAAAATCCCGACCTGGCTGCGCTAGGTCGGCACTACCAAAGCGGGACACCTAGCAAAGCGGGACAATAACGGTATACTACTTATTAAACAACAACTATTATTAAAAAAAATGTAAAAAAAATCTTTATATGCTTAAAAAATTTTGCTTTATAAACTTAAATTAAAATTATAAAAATCCATTTATTTGTAATAATCTAATACATTGAAATATAATAAAAAAATGGTCAAAAACTGTCTTAAATAATTCAAATTTACTTGTTTATTGCAAATATCTTAATAACCACAACCTTAATTAAAAAAAACGTCACATAGATCGAAAACAAAAGATTTTGTATATTATATAACTTAAAGTATTAATTATTAAATAAAAGTTAATAGTGATACACGTATTCTTTTAATAAGTTTAAATAAAAGTCCGATTTTCGTATTCCTCGCTTATTCTAATATATACGCGGCAATTCTGATATATACTCAATAATAAAATCGAAATTTTTTTTTCAAAAGTACTATTTTTATTACTTTAACTCAACACAATAAAGGAATAACAACTTGGAATTAAAATTCGATTAATTGATTAATATCAAACTCAATACGGTGCATCTTTTAATACAAAAATAATTAATCTATAATAGTTGGTTAATTTTTTATCTATGAAAAAAAAGCAAATTTTACTATCCCGCCTTGCTAAGTGTCCCGCTTTAATAGTGCCGACTTGCTATAGCAAATCGGTCAATTCTTTCGAATTAAAATTTAAGGAAACCGACGATTAATTAAAATAAAAAACCTTAGAAAAAGAATAATTATCGGTTCGTTACTTACTGAATTAAAGGTTAAAGTATTTGTTGGATTGCTTCCAAGCGATTGGGAATATATATTCGTAAAGTCGTAACGGTCGTTAAAGTACTTGCAATTGCAAAACACTCGGTTGATAAGGTATCTGAATTCTGTCTGCTCCCTAAGGCTCAAGGGAGCTGATTCCTTTTATACGATTAAAAGGAATCACGTGCACTAGCTAGCTAATAGGTTTACTTGTCAAGTTGGGGGTCCTTTGACTGCTGACATGCTAAGCGAGGCATGCCAAGTGGCCCGTGAATCATGGTTCACGAGTGAGCTTCCCCAATTACTACTACTACTACTACTAGCTAGCTAAGGTCGATATAGATATACCGACAGTATTGCTATAACGATAGTAGCGGCTGCAGCAGTACAGCGCTATAATAATTAAATAGCAATACAATCACGCGATTCATACCCTCCCTTCCTCCTTTTTCTTTCCTCTTTTCCTGAATAGCCCTTAGCTATACGTATTAACTTATATTAATCTGTATTACTTGTATTGACTTGTATTAATCCGTATTGACCTGCATTTCACATTTACT